GGAGGAGCAGAGAAGTGTGTTAGACTGCGACTCTGCATAGGGTTTTGGGTGGGTAACTGCTGAAAAAGAAGGGCAGAGAAGTGTGTTAAACTGCGACTCTGCCTCCTGGTCTCAACTCTGGGTTGTCATGGATTTGGTCCACTAATAAATTTGGCCAGATTTCTAGAAATGAGAGCTGCTCTTTCCCAAGTGGGATGGATGCCGTCTCTCCAGATCAGACCAGGTCTTCCCCAGAAAGTCTGCCAATGTTCAACAAAGCCCACATCGTTTGCTGGACACCACCTCGACAACCAGCAGCAGAATGACGACGTGCGGCTATACATGTCATCACTGGTCAGATTTGGCAGGGGTCCAGAGAAAACTACGGTGTCCGACATTGTTTTTGCATATGTACACACCGACTCAACATTAATCTTAGTGACCTCCGATTTGCGTAACCGGGAGTCATTACCGCCGACGTGAATAACAATCTTACTGTATTTACGTTTATCCTTAGCCAGCAGTTTCAAATAAGACTCAATCGCCCGCTCTGGCCCCAGGGATGCACTTAACTATGGCCGCTGGCTTCTCTAACTTCACGTTTCTCAAAATGGAGCTGCCAATGATCAGAGTTGGTTTCTCAGCGGGTGTGTCGCTGAGTGGGGAAAATCTGTTAGAAACGTGAACAGGTTGATGATGCCCCGTGGACTTTGAATGCTTACGACTATTCCTCCTTCGGACAGTCACCCAGCCCCCCCTTTCCTGGCTGCTCAGGAGATGCCGGGGGACGGCTACCAGAGGCTAACTCAGGCCGTTCCGGTTAGTAAAATAGAATAAAATAAAAGGGATAAAATAAAGTCAAATAAGATTGGGAAAGGCTCTCCTATAAAAGTATGTTTTAAGAAGGGACTTAAAAGAGTTCACTGACTCAGCCGACCTGATTTCCTCGGGCAGGCTGTTCCAGAGCCTCGGGGCCCTGACAGCAAGACTAAAAGGTCAGAAATATAACAAGGCGAGAGGCCATGAAGAGCTTTAAAAGTGATCAATAGAATTTTAAAGTCAATTCTAAAACATACTGGGAGCCAGTGTAATGAAGCTAAAATAGGAGTAATGTGGTCATATTTGTGGTTCTGGTTAAAAGCCTGGCAGCTGAGTTCTGGACAGTCTGGAGTCGATCAATAGATTTTTGGGTTAAACAGGTGAAAATGCTGTTGCAATAATCCAGGCGTGTGAGATGAAGGCGTGTAAAATGGTCTCGTTGTCCTTAAAAGTTAACATAGATCGAATTTTAGCTATATTTCTAAGTTGATAAAAACATGATTGAACAAGCTTTGTGGTGTGCTGCTCGAAATTTAAGCTAAACTAAGTTAAAGTCGCTAACGGCTAAGCTAAAGTACTGTAGCGTCAGCTACAAAACTTTAGAACAACTATGAGATTGAACAGCAGTCACTAAAAGATGGAAAGAACTGTGAGTGCTTAGGCAGAATTACTGTAAAGAATAAGTGTTTAGCGGACAGTTGGCCGCTGTAATCGAACAAATGTAACTTTTATTTAGCGAGAGCAGCACAACACGGTACCACACACAGGCACCGGAAACAGAAATGAGTCGACACGCTTACCGCAGTACGTCAGCAACGCCAAGGGATCAGTAGTACTTTGAACAGTATATTAGCTCTATGTGCATTATTGTTAAGTCAATCAGCATAGTATTGTACCTTAGCTGACTTAACAGCACTTTGGTAATGTTTTAAGCAGTTTCTTAGGATTTGACCTGGAGTTTGTCTTTTTTCCATTTGCGCTCTGCCCTTCTGCAATCACGTCTAAAAGCCCGAGTGGAATCATTGAGCCATGAGGTACCAACAATGTTCGCCTTGTTTTTTTTAGCCAATAGCATGGGAGCAGCAAGCCGACTGAAGCCAGGTGTGGAATCCAGGTCGAGCCAGTTGTTGAAACAGCTGCACATTTCATTGTTTGCAGAGAAATGAAGTAAACATGGACACATTCACAAAGTCTAACAACTCTAATATCCAACTAATTCAACTCAGATGTTACAGCTGGATGTGTTTCTGTGCTGTTTGTCCCCTTTCCTCTTCTGTCCTCTAGTTCTGCCCCAGGTGGACAACTTCTGACTGCAGAATGAGGTCCACCTGAGCTGGGAAGGAGGTCTTTAAAAGCTCCACATCAGAATGTGGGGGCTTTTTGAATCAGGACTGCTGGTCTTGCTGCCTCTCAGCCTGGACTTTCTGTTTGACGTTGTGCTCTTCTTGATTTAGTATCTTGGATGTTTGTACGTCTTATCTTAATAAATCAAATGGATTTGGCTGTTTTTCTGTGGTTGGTTTGGTTCAGTGTTGTCGGCACCACAGAGCTGCCTCAGGCTGGGGCGTAACATAAGCTCACATCAGCACGAGATGGTTCAGAAGGGACAGCTAGTCACACTTTGCATATTCATTTGCATTCCCAGGACCACAACAATGGGTTTCCTTCACCAGAGTCTGTTTTGTCCTCCGGACGTGTTCCTGGAGATACTTTTCATATTCAGACAAAACAATGTGCTAAACCTGGCACGCCACAAACAAGTCTGTCCACTGAAGGTAGAGAGACCAAAGTGATGGTGATGGACCCCACTTGGGTCGTTAGGGCTCCTGGCTGCTGTAACAACAGCTGTTATGGTCGTTAGAGTCACCTGAGGCCAGATCTGATCGACCCTTGTCGGCTTTCTCACCTGTGGCCAAATGTGAGGGTTTGGCCTCAGGTGGTCCCTCTGAAGGGATGAAAGGACAGCAGGGTGAAGTCTTAAACTTGGCCCCTGTTGAGAGATGGTTCTTCTACCTAAATGGCCTCTTTCATTCCTCTTTCAAACCATCTGTCCTCCCTATCCAGAACATGAACCTAGTTGTCATTGAAAGAGTTCCCCTTGTCCTTCAGATGTGGGTAAACTGCTGCGTCTTGGCCTGAGGAGTTGGCCCTCCTGTGTGGGCCTGCGTTGGGTAACGTGTACGGCACAGTCCAAGAAGGCCAAGCTGTTGTTGCTGACATCCTCTCAACTTTCCCTTTGCAGTTCAGCCTCATTAGTGTCGTTTTCAGCAGCAGCAGGCAGCTGGTTTCAGGGAAAAGCTCTTTAAAGGAGGAAATGGAGGGAAACACACGGGAACGCTGTTCTGGGAGGAACAGTCGGGAGGGAACGGCGTTCCTGCTCAGATTCAGAAAAATCTGTTTCTGTAGGGGGAAATGACTCACAGCTGTTTTACACTGTTTCTAAGGGCGGGTCGAACACCGGACCCAAACTCTAGTGGACCAAACCAACGCTCTCCGGTCCACCTTGAAGGGGTATATTTCTTTGGTCTCGGACCACTTCCAAGTGAATGAAGTGACTTGTAACTGGTTTAACCGCAGTATGCTGCACACCTCCAGTCCAGCATCATGTTTTCTTATAAAAATCTTTCCATACAGAAAAACAGGTGATGTAAGAAAATGTCCCTTTGAAAGCTGCGTGACAACAAAGACCTGCTTGAGTTCTATATACAGTTTGATGCTTTGTGCTTTGCATACAAAGCTGCTGCTAAAGAAATGAAGGTCACAGTGTCTGTAAAGTCCATCAGAACAACAGAGCAAAGACACATTTAGATAACATCTAGATATTTAACAGATCCAGTTTGAGGCTGTTTTGCGGTTTGTTCTGCTTCTTTGTTGTTTATGATCCGTTCTGCTGTCACACCTGTTGTCTGTGTATAAAACAAAGTTTACAGCAGGAGAGCTGATTGTTTTCTTATTTCATATTTAATAAACCAGCAGACATTAAGATAACAGCACTTCCTGTGATGTGTGGACATGTTCTTTAGATGTGATGTGAGGCCGTACTGCAGCCACATCAGCGGGAATCTTGTCCATCTACTGGAGTGATTTGAGGTGTGGAGCATTGTTCTAGGATGTTCAGGCTGTCTTCTGACTTTGGGTCAAGCAGGTTGTCCACCTGTTGTTGTCCCCAGAAATAAGTTATTTTACATCACCAGTTAACACACAACATTTTCCTCCTCACATATCATTTCCCAACAAATGTATGACCCAAACAACAAAAGCAAGCTATTGCGTTTCTCCATTGCTGGTAGCAGCTCAACTCCACTCATCTCAGATCTCTTCTGGCCGCCGTCCTCTGTTTCCCATTGCAGATGTTACCCCCTCAATGTAGCTGGTAGTCATAGCAACGCCGCACGATACTGCTCCAACGTTATGTTCTACGTGACTCTCACCAGCTCTTAAGTTCAATTCAATTCAATTCAATTCAATTCAATTCATTCAATTCAATTCAATTTTATATAGCGCCAAATCACAACAACAGTTAAAGTTGAAATGTTTCAACATTACTCAGCATGGAAAGACAGAATCGCTGCAGGAGAACATTGCTGGAGTTTCTGCTGCGTTGGCTGCAGAGGTCTGTGGGACCAGAGCGCTCTGTGAGCTGACCGGCCTCGCCAGCGTCCTCTGCCGCCACTTCCTCTTAGTTCCTTCAAATGTAGATCCTGGTACTGAAAGTCTCAGGTAAAGTATGCAGGGCCCTGATGTCAAGCCCTTTCCTACCAAAGAACCTACTTCCTTATTAAGCTAAAGGGGGATGGTGGGACAGAGAGACTGGGTTTCCAAAGGGGTTCTCCAACTTCTCCCAGGACGGTCTAAACTGAAATCCGGTCTTGTTGTTGTTGATGTGTTCAGTAAATGGTTGAAGTTTTTCCCTCTGATAAGTGAAACTAGTCCAGCTGCCATCAGCCACCCACAGAGTGCTGCTGCTGAACGCGTGGACACAATAACCACAAACTGTCCAACACCAAGCCAGCTGCGTCCATCTGCCTGCGTCTGCTGTGTGGCAGTGAGGTAACAGTTTCTGATAGACACTGAGAGACCTGCTCCTTTCCTTCTTTCCTTGATACTAACACGTTCACAGATTCACTCAGTCACCACCTGACTTCTGGAACTAGCCTGACCTTTGACCCACAGGTAGCCCAGCCTCACCTGTGCTCAACGCCATGTTGGGTCTCAAACCCCGTCTGAAGTCTCCCGGTCTGGACCGGAGGTCTGCATGTTTCTCAGTCGCTGCTGAAACATGGTGACGTTTCACCTGCTGAGTGTTTGTGTTGTTAGACGCAGTGAATGTGTCGGCCTGCAGTTTCTCCTGATTCACCTTCATGTGTAAATGAGCAGATTCTGTGAATGAAGATACCTCCGCCCCAAAGGGCCAGAAGACAGCGTCCCAGAACAAAGCTCCTGTACCTCAATCTCGATCTGAAGTCTTGATTAAGCGGCTGCAGTAATCACCTCTCATCAGCACTAAAGAACACGCTTCTGTGTCAGCAGGGAGCTGTTTATGAAACGTAACCAGCATCATTATTAAGATACATTTTAAATCCTTTAGAGCAGAAGAAAACATCAACAGGTGTGACAGCTTCACATTTATTCATTCAGCTGACGTTTATCCAAAGAGACTCACAGCTGCTGTATCTGACAGAGATCGCACGCCTCTGGAGCAACGAGGGGTTAAGTGTCTCGCTCAGGGACACAGTGGAGGACGTGTCCCAGTGGGGAATTGAACCCCGGTCTCTCACAGCAAAGGCGTGTGCGCCCTCACCTCCCCTGTGGCCAGTTAGCGTGAGCGGGTCACTGCACATTTCTTAGTCAAATAAATGTTGGCGTGTGACGGTTCTTTGTCCCGCTAACCTTCTCTATGTGTCTATTTGTGTGAAGCATCATTTCCATATTCCTGCCACTCCTTTGTCTCAGAAGAGCAGCTGTAGATCATCGTCACCCTGCTGCATGTTGTCACTGGACATATTTGAACTTTGGCTGCAGAGGACAAAACATCTGGTGGAGGAACTCATTCAGGGGGTCTGGCAGCTTTTACAGGTACATTTAGTCAGATTCCTTTTTTCTTCTATGTAGAGCGAATTAAACAGCTTTGGGCTGGAGGTGGACAGAATACTGAGCTTAAACCAGTTAGTTAAACCAGTTCAACTAAATGATGAAATGAGAGAGAGCATTAACAATGAAGTATGAAATCTATAAAATAGAAAGGTATACTGCTGGAGTCCAGATATCTAGAACATGCTTACACATTCTTCTTCTTCTTAATATTACTATTATTCTGTGTATTGTTCTGAGCCAACATTAATCCTCTCAGAGGTATTTATAGAGACGTTTTTCAGCTGAGATGCAGAAGAGTTTTGTGTTTTCTGATTGTTGAAGAAAAGTCTCAGGAGGAGAGAGTTCTGAACCGAAGACGGGTTACAGTCAGTGTAATAACCTGATCTCTCAAACAACAGGTTTCACTCTGAAGAATGGAAGGTCTCTACATTAACAGCAGCTCACAGGACCAAAGCTACGATTACAGCACACCACCTCCAACTACCAGAAAAACAGCAGCACCACCTCCAACTACCAGAAAACAGCAACATAACCTCTGACAACTATATTGAAGTGGTGGTATACATAATCGTTGCTGTCGGCCTTCCTCTGACCCTGGTGGCCATCTATTCTCTTTATTCTATGGTATGTACATTCTGACTGAGAGTTATTTATTTCCTGTCTGTGTGGTGTGTCTGTCCTACAGTCTGTCTGTCTGTAAAGGATCTGGATCTGTTTGGGGGCTAGGTGTCAGGGGGCTGGGACAAAGGCTTGGAATGATCTATAACCTGACAGGAATAATTGACTCCAGAATTCAAATGTCCATGAAGCTGATTGGACCCTAAACACATGCAGTTTCCATGTGTGGCTCCATTCCAGCCTTCTCTTAAACTGTTGAGCTTAATGACTCTATCAAGTTCTTTGCCTCCAGTCCTTATTTGTGTGATCCTCCCTGAAATGCTGATTCAAGGAGGAGAGAGGCTCACCTTGCAAACACAAACATGAGCCTCAAACTGCGACTCCAGTCTGGTGCGTCTGTCTGATAAATCCAGCTCATGTGTTTGAGCCAGAACGCTTCATATCTGTGGCTGAAAAACTGCTGCAGAAGCTGCAGGAAATCTGGCCCTTAGTCTTGTTCCTGCACTGATTGGCCAGCGGGTCATATCTGAGATTTCTGTTGGATGAAAAAGTCAGAAATGGCTCTGACTGCAGCTGCTGGACAGAGCAAGATGACAGATTTGGGAGGAGGTGGACTTCACAACATGTTTCCAACTGCTTCTTGACTTTTACCAATGTTTTCCTGCAGGTGAGAAGTGAACATGTTGCTCCCATCTACGTCATCAACCTTCTCATTACTGACATCCTTCAGTTCTGCTGCATGATCGTTCAGGTGGCACCAAATGTGGTTTGGAATATAAAGATAATCTTCTCAGTTATTTACCTCTCTGCTCTGATTGCCAGTGTTTACTTCATGGTCTGCATCTCCCTGGAAAGGTATCTATCTGTCTATCCAGTATGTGTGGAGCTCCTTCTGTGTCTGAACATTATATTAGTTTATAACTCTGAAGCTCCTCAAAGACTTTGTGTCCATCTTGTATTACAGGTATTTGGTCATCGCCCACCCACTGTGGTACCGCTTCAGAAGAACCATCAAGACCTCTGTGGTGGTCTGTGTCCTGGTCTGGGTCCTTTCTCCTGTCTCTGCCGTCTGTTTCTATTTCACTTATGTCAGATACACACTCGCTGCCCTCCTCCTCCTCCCTCCCTTCCCTCTGTTAATCTTCTTCCTGGTTGGGACCCTCAAAGCCCTGTCTGCTTCCATCTCGGTCCCCTCTGATGAAAAACGACGAATTGTGGGAATTTTGGTTCTGGTGCTGCTTATTTACACTCTGCTGTTCCTGCCCAGCATCATTTATTACCTGGTAGAAAACCATCACCCGACCCTCTACTTCCTGTCTCTCATCTTCCTGAGGTTGAGTCCTCTTGCAGACTTGTTCCTGTATGTCTTCATGAGGAAAGGGTTCATAGACAAGCTTTTGGCCTCTGTGTGTTGCTGCAGAATGGACAGCAATGATATCAGCTGTCCATCAGTATGAATGATGACAACATTTCCACAGTCAGCTTCATGTAGGCAGAGAAAGAGGGAGAGAGAGAAAGGGGAGGAAACAGGAGGAGAAATGGAGGCCAATAGAAAGGATAGAGACGAGACAGATCCTGTCATCTACTGAGACCATTTCCAATAAGACACCTAACTGTAGAGAGCAGGAAGCACTGTTTGGACTCTGCTGTGGGAGAAGTGGCTGCTGGGAAATGTTTTGGTCAACTTGCTCTGGTTCGCTGTGATGGCTTCAACACATGGCAACAAAATGTGTTTTATTAGTTTGGAGCTGGAAGTTGATGTCTGTCATTATTCTCCTTTAATCCCAGAAGCAAAGCAGATATTATTTTAGATGAACTGAGCTCATTCTAGCCGCCTCGCTGTCTTCTTCCTAAATCTTTATTTGGACTGTTGTTTGGATGTTTAACACAGGGAGAGCATCTCAACACGTCTTTAGCACTTTGTACTTTTTAAGTGTAATTTCTGCTGTTTTAGTGGTAGGCATGCTGCTGTTTAGGATGGGATTCAGAGCAGCTGTTTTGCAGCAGCTGTTGTGTGCTTGGCAATCTGGAGAAAATCTTAAACCACAGTTTGTCAGTTTCTATGAAATTGTACTTTTTCTGGAAATCCAATAAAAATCAGTTTGTACATCAAACTGTGAATGTTTGTCTTTGAGCAACTCAGTGAATTAAAAGCTGACAAATGAAGGTTCAACAAAATCTCTGCTGGTTGACAAATCTCTGTTGTCTCTATGAACATAAAGGCCAACCTGCTGTTACCAGGGAGGCATCCTGCACTTTCTGACCAAATGAGGTTTCCTCACAGCTCTTAAAGCTTTCAGACTTTTTTAGATAAGAAATGATAAAGTGTGACAGGGACAGTCACAACAGATCAGACAGAGAAACTCCCACCCCCTCCCTTATGGGCTCCTTCCAAAGCCACGCCCCCAAAACACGTGAACGCGCGCTGCCGACACCGCTGGAGGATGAGCAGAGTGTGACGAGCGGAGAGGAGCGCAGTGCAGCTGCTCACATCAAACTTTATCATGAAAATAAACAACTAACCCGGCTGTTAGTACTCACTGTCAAGCTAGCATGTTATTATTGGACAGGTTTAAAAAGACTAACTTTGATTCAGTACCAAGCTGGTTTGCTAACTGTTAGCAACAGGAAGCTGTGCTAATGCCTCGTTCCAGACTGCTCGGAACTGTGAAATGTCTGAGTTGAAATCTTTGACTTCCTGCCTCAAAGCGTTCCAGGTGCACGGTGGCGCCGGAAGTGACGAAAAACACGGCTGGCTGTGACAAACTCTTTGTCAAGTGTGCACCCAGTTGCACCCTCAGCACTGCCCTTGGTGTTAATTGGTGTTAATATTATAATATTAGTACATTATTTCCCAGTGTGCTTGTCTCAGAGTTTCTCTGGTGTTTCCCCCGAAGCCCTTTGGGTGTCAAAAATAAATGTAATCCATCACTATTGTTATTACTTTTTATTATCGTTTACTGACTACAACAACTAACTGCAGCTCTGCTTCAGCCATCGGTTCATCTGAGTCATGTACATTGTGAACACAGAAGTCCTGTTAGAGAACAACAAGCCCCTGTTCAGTAAAAATATCTGATCATGTTGATGAATGTTCTTTCCAATTACACCAATCTTTCCTATTTAGGGTTCTAACAACTATATATTCCTTACCAGGCCAGAATCTGAGGACTGTGGACAACATCCAGACTACAGTGTTTCAACAGGACAATACAGAGTTTAATCCTAGCAGGGTGGAAGATGTAATGTCACCAACTGACACACAAATAATCCCCTCCACTGTGTGGATGAATACCTGTACTTTGTTTTTGTTTTATTCCCAGGAGGGTAGAGAAAATACAAATATATTTTTGCCTGTTCTGGATATTTTCATTCTTTTTGAAATAAAACATTGAAAATGATAAATGCCTTTTCTTTATACCTGCAGCATAAACAATCAAGCAACTACATTTATGTCTATGTCTCCTATAATAACATCCAAATGTGCTATAAAACTTGTTTATTGTTATTAAATACTACTAAAACTACAACCTTTATCACAAATAGATACTTCATTAATAAAATCATTAAAAATAAGAATATACAGGAAGAGACAAGGTCCAACCATGTTACTTTTGTTGTACATTTTTCTGTATCTAGCAACACAGTTGGGGCAGGAACACCTGACTGAACCCCATGTTGACGGGGATCATTGGGTTCTCCTGGTTCTGCTTCTAGGCATCTCCTCAGTAGTGGACAACCGTCAGAGGAGGAGGAGGAGGAGGAGGAGACTCTGGAGGTCTGCGATGTAACTGTAGTCCTTCTCCACCTTCAATGAGTACAAGCTCCACTTCCTGGACTTTGTTGTACACCTTACTGCACCTGATAACACAGAAAGGAGGATCAGCTTAGTGAAAAGTTTGTAACACCTGAACACCTGACATTGTTCTCTCCTGCTACTGTAGAGAGCAGTCGTGCTTTTCCTACTCTCCCCTCTGATCTTGGCTTGCTCCTATTTTCTGTCTACTTTGGTCGTGTGGAAGGTTTTACATCAGAACGGTGAACTGTTTCCTAACATCTCAGTCTGTGGAAGCGCAGAGGAGGATCGACACCATCGGGTCCAGTCTGGTGAGCTGCTGAGAGTAACCACAGGTCTGACAATGACATTAGAAGAAATGTCGAAATCACTACATGAACTGGATGCACGTATGACGCTGAGGATGAGCGCCTCCCCCCCCCTCGAAACTGCCCTCTTTATTTCTCTTCCTCACGTCACCTCAAAAAATCCCACCATGTGACCGCATGTAATGTGTGTTGTCTTGTGTATTATTATGTATTGTATGCATGCACGTGCAGGGGGGGTGCTATGGGTGCTTGAGCACCTGCCCTTTGATGCCCAAAGTGCCCCTTTGTCAATGACAGATTTCATTAATTAATTCATTTTTAAATGTGTAAAGGTCCTTTTGTGAAGGCCTGCCGAATCAAAGTATTAGTAAAAATAATTTCTCAGTAAATAAAATGACCCACATGATGACCTTTCAGCAGCTCTGCCTGCAGGACTCCTGCGATCCCGCCAGTCAGAGGGGTTCACCTCAACGTGCTTGTTGTGGGTTGTTGGATGTATTTTACAAGAAAGACGCAAAGAGAGCAGCACAGTAGTTGCATATTGCTGCGTGTTGCCAGTAGAAGTAACTTTAGCTGCCGACTAACACTGCGCCCACAGCTAACGTTGCTTCTACACACAGATAAACAAAAGTTGCTCTGTTCACTTCATTCTTGCTGTTTGAGGGAGAAAAGTTTCACGGGCGTCGTGAGGTCTGGTATTTTTTATATAATTTGACTAAAAACCTTTCACTTCAACTAGGATTATTACAGTAACTTCATTAAAAACGTAGTGTGCCTTAAATAATTATAACACTTTGGTAAAACTGTTTTATTACTTATCAGCCCTTAAAACGATCATTTAAATCAGAACAGTATTTGAATAGATAGCAAACCTATTATATGAACTAAATAACTGGAAATACAGTAATAATGTCAGTGTCAATATAAAAAAATAATATTCCTGACATTGAAGAAGAAATGGTCCTATTAGATTTCAGAAAAAGGTATGAAATGTTAATGTGAAGGTAAATGCTGCTCTGTCATGGTTATTATGGGCCGACAGAAAGAACACACACATATTTTTAGATTTATGATTAGACATATAGTCAATCAAAATCCAATATATATCTCAGATTCACAATGTAATATATAAAATCATTATCACAATATTGCCTACACACACACACACACACACACACACACACACACACACACACACACAACACACACAAACACACACACACACACACACACACACACACACAAACACACACACACACACACACAAACACACACAAACACACACACACACACACACAAACACACACACACACACACACACACACACACACCTGTCTATAGATTTGTCTCTCTTACTGCTGTCTTGGCTAACCTTTGTCATTTCTCCCAGTACTGTTTCCTTCCCAGATTATTTCCCACACTTTGTTAACCTGGAATCTTATTTCCTCTCCCTGCAGCTCTGTGAGCGTCTCCCTCTTATTTTCAGCCTTGGCAGCGGCTGCAGCTACAGCAGGTCAGTCATAGTGACTCTGTCCTAAATACTGTCAGCAATCTTTACATCTCGTCATGGTCACATATTTGTTTCATCAGCTTCTATATCTTCTATGTTTGTTATAATATCTCTGGTCACAGATCACCTCCAGTAGTATCAGCAGCAACCAAAGCAGCAGCAGCAACATCCCCAGCAACCCCTCAACAGCAACTGTTCCCTGTAAGTTATGTCAGCCCACCGTGTTTTAAAGCTGGATCTGGGAATTCTCTGTGTTTCTTTTTCAAAACTGTGTCACAGCATTTCTTGATGTATCGATACATTATGTGTTTAAATTCTTCATATTTCTATGATATTATATTATAGTTTGCTGTTCGTTAGTAAAATAAGCCGCTCTGCTGCCAGCAGGCTTGTTTGAGATTGGTCAAATCAGCAAACACCTCATCTTTAATGTGCTCATTGCTACATGAGACAAACCTGGCTTGGCTACAGAGTTGACCGCCACCTTTGTGTGACCACTTATCATGATTACTGGTGTTAGTGAAGCCAGATAACAGAAAGCCTTTGGTTCTGTTCTGCTGTTACTTTTATATATGTATTTATACTATGTATTCTTTAAATATAATATATACTTACTTTCTTCTTGCCTAACAGGGGATATTGATCTTCTACGTTGTTCTTCTTGGTGCGACAGGCTTCTATGAGATGGTGGTCTGGTCTGCGTTTCTGATGCGGGCTCCTGAATTTGCTGGGGCACTACAAGAAAAGTAAGAGTCAGAGTAAAGGTCACGACAAAAGCTCAGTCTAAATTTAGGACAGATTTTAGGACAAATCTCTCCAATA